CTGGGGGGCGGGGAACTCTGGCAAGAGCAACGCAGAGAGGGAGGACCCAGCCACATGCTGCAGAATTTTTTTCTGTAGTCTTCACAGAACATCTTCCCTTGGGAATGCAAAGTTTTGTAAATAAAATGCAACAGTTGTACGTTTGCTGCCAAGATCAGGACAATTAAATCTCCCAAGAGGCAGAGAGTATGTTTTCTTTCCTTATACTCTTCAGCTGGAGGGTGTGTGATGGTGAAGCTTATCTTTGATTTGTCAAACTAAGCCGCTCTGCTTGTCATTGATCAGATTGCTTTTCCTGCTGTTTACTTATTTGGGTGGAATTTGTGAACATATAGACTTAGAAGTATTTTCAAAAGGTTAACTGTCATCTTATAAATGTTTAACATGCATCAAAACGGTAGAAGCTCTGCGATTTCCAAACTAAATTCTGCAGAGCACAGGTGTATTTTGAATGATGGCTAACACAACGCCATGTTTATTAAATATTTATTTTGCACACAACATCGTAATTGGCGGTAGCATATAAACTGAAAGACACACATGCTTCTTGTCCATAAAGGGTGAAAGGGAAAGCATTAGAACAGATTGAGCTTCTGCAGTGTCCCTGAGACTCTGCTGGATACTCACATACAGAATTTTATTTGATACTTACAACAACCCTCTGTGAGATATGGTTGCCCTCAGTTTGTAGATGAAGAGAACAAGGTTGAGAGAGACCAGTGGATAACTTGCCCAGTGTCATAAGACTAACAGTTTTCCAAACCAGGATTTACATGCAATGTTTTTATTCTAAGTCTAGTTTATTTTTTACCGTATCATGTTTCTACCCAATATTTTCATGAATCCTTAACGGGCAACACTTTAAAAACTTCTCAAGTCTTTGTTAGTACCATCTTCTTATATAAACTTTCTTTGGTGGTACACACTTCAGAGAGGACAGGGATGGATGCTCCAGTAGCAGCTAAGCAGGAGGAGGGGCGGGATATTACAAGCCAAAGAAATATTCCCATTTGTAGAACCTGCTAGATTCCATGGAGATGGTAACTGGGTTAATAATTTCTGAAGACCAGGCTCAGTGGCTCAGCCTGTAATCCCAGTACTTTGGGAGGCCAAGGTGAGTGGATTGCCTGAGCCCGCGGGTTTGAGTCCAGGCCAGGCAACTTGGTGAGACCTTGTCTCTACAATACATCAAAAATTAGCCGGGTGTGGTAGCGCATGCCTGTAGTTCCAGCTACTTGGAAGGCTGAGGTGGAAGGATCGCCAGAGGCCAGCAAGTCGATGGCCATGAATGTGCCACTGCGCTCTAGCCTGGGCAACAGAGTGAGACTCCAACTCAAAATAATAATAATTCTGAAAATTGGCCTTGTGCAGTGGCTCACACCTGTAATTTCAGCACTTCGGGAGACTAAGGCTGGAGGATTGCTTGAGCCCAGGAGTTTGAGATCAGCCTAAGCAAACATAGCAAGACCTCATCTCTGAGGCTGAGGTGGGAGGATATCCTGAGCCCAGGAGGTCGAGGCTGCGGTGAACCATGATCATGCCACTGCACTCCAACTCAGGTGACAGAGTAAGACCTTGACTCAAAATAATAATAATAATTGCTGAGAGTTTATTTGGTATCATCAAGCAGATAATTATAGTCATTTTCAAAAAAGGAAGGTCAACAGTATACTTTCCACATAAATGCAGTCTCAGGCTTCCTACTCAGCCTTTTCTGTTTCTTGGTTTCTGCCAATTCATTGCACAACATTTAATCATTGAGGCGGTCTTGTAGCAAAGTGTGTAATTTGCTATCTGATTTTAGCTATTGCTCTTGACCGTGGAGTTATACTGGACCGTGTGCTTTATCTTCTTTCTAAAACCTGCCTCTCCTCCCCCTGTGTTGGCCCTCACTAGAGAGACCATCCGTACACCCAGCCTTCCCTAGAGAAGCCCAGAGATCACCCTGGAGTCTTCACACGGTGACATAGAGCAGCCAGGTGTTAGATTTGGAGTCTACCAGGGTCTACCACCCGTTGCTGTGACCTTGGGCCAATTGACTTAACCTCACAGTGTCTTGGCTTCCTCATCTATCAGACACAATAGTCATACTCTTCACGGAGAGGGCTACAAGGATGGAGTGTGATTGTGTAGGAAGGTCCTATCCCACGTGCGAAACATGGCAGCCTGTGAGTAGTAGGGACTGTTGGTACTTCTGGCTTCAGTGAGTCCCCAACTCCTGCTGGCTTTACCTTTTGAGTAGTCCTGACTCTGCCTCTCATTTGCTTGCCTCCTTGCACTGTCCTATTCTAGCCCTTTCTGCTCAGAATACAGCAGTCACCTTCTAAATTAAGCTCAGACAAACCCATTACCCTCCATACTGTGGCTACCCAAGGGGTTTTTCTCAAGTGTGTACTGGACCTTGTTGCATCCCTGCTTACCTCCTTCAAAGGCCTTCAAGATCACCTTGAAGTTTTTGTTTGTTTGTTTTATTTAGGGCTTTGTGATTTTTTGGTAGTATTTCAATAACATTGTCGTTGTAAATAAAGGTTTATGGTCTCTTTGTGAAACCTTGTCTAATCACCCAGGCATCAGCCAGAAACTGGGAGAGAAGCACAGGGAAAGAGGAGAAACTCACAAATACGTCTTTCCTTCTCCTCCTCCCTCAAAAATAAAGAAAATCTAATAAAGTAGTGTTCATAAAATGAAGATGTCATATTAATCTCAGGAAATAGAGATCAGAAAATGGTGACGCTATGAGAACATTGTAAAGATTAGAAAAATTATTAAAGGAAAACTGATACAACAGGCAATATGATATTGGATTCATTTCTTGGGTAGAATGCCTTCCAGGTGAATATTATGGAGCTGAGAAGTATTAGCAATTCTTCTCACTTTTGCAAATCATACCCAGTTGTCAAAAAAAAAAAAAGCAGAACGCTTCCACTGTCAGCCCCATTAACATAGGCCAAAGTAATAGTTTAGCAGTTAATTTCTGCTATTAACAGAACTCAAGGGAAAGCAATGACAGAAAAGCAAGGCAGGGATGGTGAACTAATTATGGTGACGGGCATATCACAAGAGACCGGTGGTGGGTGGTAAACTACTTTATCCTCAGTGTTTTTCTCAGCCCAGTAATGAAGACCATGTGCATGCAGGTGTAAAGAGGCTGCTTGTTTGGCAGCAGGTATAGAATAATTGGTGTTGGTGTGAAGGGGCTGGAAGGCAGAATAAACAGGCTAATAAAAGGAGAGGACAGTAGCCAGGTGCAGTGCAACCCTAGCACTTCGGGAGACCGAGGAGGGAGGATTGCTTGAGCCCTGGAGTCTGAGACCAGCCTAGGCAATATAGCAAGGCCTTGTCTCCACAGAAAATTAAAAAAATAGTCGGGCATGGTGGCTGAGGCAGGAGGATCGCCTGAGCACCCAAGGTTGAGGATGCAGTAAGCCATGATTGTGCCACTGCACTGCAGCCTGCGCCACAAAGTGAGACGCCGCCTCAAAAAAAAAAAAGGAGAGGAAAGTGCCACTGACTTTCCTTAGATTTTGGAGAGGAGATTCTTCTTGAGACGCTCTGTGTTTTCTCATAAAAGCAAGGGAGCAGTCTGTGACAGAATTATGGCAGTGAGGGTCTTAACCCTTTCTAGATGACAGAACTCTGAGAATTTGATATAGCCTG